CAGTTTGTGTGTTGCTCCATGCTTGTTGTTGACTATTAGCCTAAGTGGCGCACCTTCCTTGTGTATCTTCTTCCAATTCACATTAATGTTGGAACTAATTGTGGTATTGTAAAATTGAATTCGGCATCACATTGATCCCATATAAGATGTGTTAACGGGAAATGATCATCGTGACAGCATCTTAGACACGCAGCTTCATAGAGCGTTGCCCCAGCGCAGCATCTACCCGCCATAGAACAGCGCTAGATCTGTGCACTACGACAGCAGCCTTAAAGGCCATGAGTTAAGGCAGCATGAAGCATTACCCAGAGGATCCTGAAATGTATTCACCCTATCTCGTTAAGGTGATGAGGGAAGGGTAGTTGAATTTTCCCACAATGATCTGAGTAGGCCTTAGGTTTCTATTGAATTTCACATAACTTTGCTTCCCAAAAGGTATTCTCAACAGAGGGTGGACTGTGGTTTCCACCTTACATAGGTCGCGTCAGTATCGGATCTAGTGTCAGTTTTTGACAAATATAAGTTCGCTATATCGCCATTGTTCCCAACATGAGTGGAAATTGGAAGATGCCTAATTGCCTGAAAATTTACCTCTGCCAATGAAAGCTAACCAACGTTGTCTTTCTAACAACACACAACTTCTACTAATAAATAAAAAGAATTGTTTTGTGAAGCTCCGATAACTAAATTTCTTGAATGGCAACTTGTTCCAACAGTAGGCCACGTAAGCACTACAGATAAGATGAAAATATTTTAAATAAGTATATCTGATCCTAATACATTATATAATACAAAATAGAAGTGAGCGCATGCTATCTTACGCTAGCAATTCAATGCAATTTATATGATATATAAGTATGAAAAATACGAAAGAAGTAATCATGTGGTCTCAAAGGTTGGAAGGCTTGGTATTCAAAATTAGCGAGACATACAGATTATATAAAAAAATAAATGTAAAAATGGAAGTCATGGGAGAAAGACCATTAGATTGAAATCCAAAGAAAGTCATGTAAATTTTAGCTACCTACTTAATACATACATTCACAAGCGTCGAAAATGATACCTGATTAATATACGGGTAGACATCCACTACTAATATAGAATATATTTATACAAGAAGGGAATGGTGAAGTAAAGTTGAAACATTATTCTTTAGCTAATTAGCAAAAGTGGTAGCCTAAGCAAATGGCAAAACGAATTACAACTTCTTGAAGCTGTCTGGTGTATAGTTCAAATGCATGATAGGTATTATTAGTATATTAGTAATTTCCCTTCAAAGAAGAATAGTTTAAAACTGGCAACCAGCTTGTGAAGAATTTTAACCCTCATGCAAAGAATGAAAAAGGTAAAATGATAAAGTATCCCTAAGTCCTGTTAGCACTGCTACTTTCGAAATTAGTGAAACTATAGCAAACGATTTTCCGTGCAACTCAGAGCTGAGAAAGCCAATCTAAATCGTAAAATAGCCCTGCGATCTGAATATAAAAGAAGACAGATAACAGCCGCCATGATACATTTGAATCATGACTAGCAGAGCCAAATATACGAAGAGGGCGGCCAATTTGGTCCGCCATTGTGGTGACGAAAAGGCTGCTAGTACGCACCAGATCCTTGGTCATCAGTTCAATCAGAAGGCGTTGGCGGACCTCATTCTTGGACTGCTCCATACCTAGAACAAAGGCCTGTACCTTTTCTGACTCGGGGATTCGTGGAATAGCAGGGATAGCATCAAGATCTACGCCGTCGAGCGAATAGCCATAGTCATTACCTGCTTCTATAACCACCTAAATATGCAAAAGTCGAAATGTAAAATGAAGAAGGCTGAGGGGAACAAATTCACTGAGCGCATAGAATTGTACAGAGCTTAAAGCATAGTTATTAATATAAGCAGGTATACGGCCTAGATCGGTTAATTTAAAGTTTTACAGAAAGCAACCTTTCGAAAATTATTTGCATAGTATTCTGCAGTGAACCACTATAATGATTCCAAATTTTGAGGTGTAGTATGGATAATCTTCAAACGCGTATAGGCCATGATCTTGGAAACAAGTTATTAAAGCAGCCATGGATATGAGCCTCATTATTGTGTACAAAGTAAGTTATTAATGGCTGAAATGTGTACCTAGTAAGGGCCTAAAGTCCTCTCCAATAGGCAGAAATGAGATCACATATTTCTGCCAAACTACCTAAAAATCGACAACGTTGATTACAGGGGCTGAAATTTTATACTGAGGTTGATTATTTTAAAATACGTTGATTACCCCTCCTTAATACAATTCGCAAATCCCTCTGCATCTAATAAATATTATCATTGCCTTCAGAATAGAGATAGAAAAAAGAAGGAATATGACGCAGATAAAGAGTTGTTCATTACAGCAATGTGTATACGTAGACAAGCCAGACATTTTAGAGAGGAGATATTCAAGAACCTAGCTGCGTACATACATCTAAAAATAATAGGACGATATAGGGGTTCTATCCTATTGATGAAACGAATTTCGCTTCAAGTCGAACTATTATAGCCATTTTAGTAAATGGATAGGAAATAATTTAGCCTTCACAATAGAGAAAATGGGTTTATTTTAAACGATAAAATGTTTCCTATAGACTAAGCTCATTGTGTTGGATCAAAATAAGGAATATATTTACCTCTTGTTTCGATAAGACAATCTTGCAGCCTCGGTCAGTATTTTTTCGATCGTATGACACTGCCTTGCATGAAGGCTATAAGTCATCGATTACAGTAGATCTAAGGAGTGTGGATACCAGGACATTTTGGTGATAAAGAGGAAATATTTATTTATCGTCATAGATAAGAAAATCAAGATGGTGTGGCCTTCTGTTTGGTTGCAGTCCCCTTTAGCTATATAGTGTTGCTTTGACCTCGCTTTCGCCACTTGGAAGGAGCATCAAGGAACGTACATAGTCTTGTCATAGTGGCCTTGGTTTCCAGCATCGGTCCATTGACTTGATACATTTCCAGGCGTTTCGCCGTCTGGAACCATCGTTAAGAGAGAGGGTTATAACTTATCAAAATGACAAGTGAAGCCAATCCTCTTGACAAGTTCTCTGTTAAACCGTTCTAGCATCATTACTCGCCTCCTAGTCTTTGTCATACCTTCTAGCGCTGCATCTCGTTTACTCAACCCCACTCCATATCGTCCACATTTGTCTATTCACACCACTCAGTGCTCTCGGTTCCTACAAAGTTGCCTGAGAGTGTTTCGCTACAAGTTAATTTAGTGAAGCGTAATCACCCTCACCACCGATTTCAGATGCCGTTTGTAGGGCTTCTGAGTCATGGCTTCGTTTCATTCATTTAGCCCCCCCTTTTCACTCCGCTCGTCAATTTGCCCCTGATACCTACTAAAATCACTGTCTGTCCGTCTAAAATCTGGCTGCCAATGAGCCCATCTCCATTTACGTCATATTCAATGCTCAGAATCCGATTATTCCTATGCCTAAGCAACTTCCTCTCCCATGACCCAGCTGTCCTCTTTCTCATCCCCACACCCACTGTATCTCAGTCTTTGGGTCTGGTGTCCGGCTCAACTCGGAACCGTTGGTATTCAAATGCAGTGCTTCCCTTTCTACTCATTAATCGCTAAGGCAGACTCTTCTTGTCTTTTAAGTTGAAAATCCGATCTAGTCATAAGCTTCTAGTCAGTTGTTCATGTGTACGTTGGTTGGTATCCCACCCTTTTTGGTCATGCATGCCACCAGTCGCCTTCCATTAAGCCACACACGAAAAATGCCCACAGGCACGCATGCACTCACACTGGGGACCAACTGATATTGTGTACCCCAGATAGGCTTCCACACCCTGGTGAATTTGATAGCGACCTATACCTTTAGCCTGGCACCTCTTATGGTCTATAATCTGCACCATACACACGCAAACACGCATCCATGAAGTTGTCACAGGACCCAGGACTACTGGATCATGCTCTAGTTTATTTACATTGACAAAAGTTGCGACCACATCCACTCCCCTGCCTGCATCTGTTTGATCCACTTACATGCATGTAGGACAAGCATACGTCAGCCAACCAAGTAATGGAATAACTCATTAAGATCGCAAAGTGAGGTGTAAAAAGTAAACAGGATCTCAGCTGGCCACCCTTTCTCGGTTTAGTGTTTTGGCCATTTTTCGTGAATAATGGTAACATGATGGACAAGAGTTCGGCACGGAGTCATCAGGGTCGTAGGACGGTGAGCCGAGGTTTTATTCGCACAATACAACAGACAAAAGTCCAAGGCAACCCTCCTACGGTATCTGATGAGGCCAATCTGAGAATCATTTGGACCCGCCTTCTCAAGCGAAATGAAAAGTACGCTAGTATCAATCTATTAAGGGATACTTTGAAAACCAGCTTCTCTTCATATAATCTGCATTTTTCTGGCCTTCAATTTCCTATTCCACATCTAAGAGGTGGACCCAAACCGGTAACTTTACTGCTAATTCCACGTTTGACTCTCCTCACTGCAATCTCCTTTTCTTGACCTCGCTTTGTCCCTCCTTCGCCGCTCCTTGGAAATATTCCTTCCTGTTGTTGAACAGTCATCCTTGGTCCAAGTTTCTTCTTTTTGCTGCCCTCGCTGAATCTCCAAATCTGCCCGGAGAGTACTCAAAATTCTTCCGGACTCCTCCCTCTTCCAATTTTATGTTCATCAAGTTTCTGTGAAAAAGAATTTTTACAACCTTCCTGATCTTTTGTTTTCTGGTGTTCTCCTTATTTAAAGCCAATCTTTCCGTTGTGCTCTTGTGAATTGTGTGACAGGTAAGCGCAATGTGTTCAGCTATCCCTGATCTTTCCATTTCCATTTTACGGCACAGACTCAATAGGGAAGTTGCAATGAAGAAGACGCAGACAACATAAAAATGTCAACATAATAGAGTGCTCCTTATTTTGCAAGGACTAGAAGCAAAAGTACATTAGAGAGACTGGAAGGACAATCAGCAAAAGTATCAAAGAACACCATCGTCCGTGCAAAAAAATGGATAAGAAAGATCGGAGATAGCTGAACACATTGCCCTTACCGGTCACAGAATTAACTAGATTTGCATCCAATTAATGGAAAAGGTAAATAATCATATAAAGATGGATTTTAAAGTGTTTTAATTTTTAAACTCCTCAGTGGGATGCTTCACAAAGTGAGTAAAGCTCATAAAAGGAAGATCGGATCACAATTTACTATCATATTTATCTAAGCATTTGGTGACATTTTCTTTTAGGATGATTTCATTCTCTTGCGAGGTTCATTACATCACAGACAAAGGATAAAGAAGGATCCATATGAATCTGTGGACCCTGAGCCGATGACTTCCCCAATCAAGCCAGCAGCTAAAAAGTCAATACAATCTTGCCTTGGTTTACAATGAGGGCATTTTGTAAATCCCTTCCACCCATCTTTGAAAAATGAATGAGCGACAATATAGCATATCCATAAATTGAGTAAGCTAACAAGTAGGCCCAAATAACCTAAAGCTATGGTAGATAGAATGATATGCCAAATAGAGGAATTTATAATGGAAAGCTAACAAATTCAAAATAAATATATGACAATTTACATTTTGATACTCATAACTAGTGTTTCTATTAATAAAAAACAGTGTCCATTTCTAGAAGGGATCCTAGTTAGACTCCATCAAACGCAGGAACACAGATTTTTAGATTCGTAATAAGCCGATTTTCGGCTTATTATTTTTAGCGCTTATAACCAAAATTATTATGAGCCTACCTGTTGTTCTGGGCAGAAATAAAACACGTCTACAAATGTGTATACATTTGCAGAATTCTTAAAAATTTACACAAAGTTAAAATGCTGAGTGAAGCAGGCTTCCAAATTATATCCTCATTATGGCATGACGAATGGTTGCCAAAAGGGAATCAGACTCAATAGCACTTTTGGACGCGCTCAGGTCATTTGTAGTTAGAGAATTTGATATTTTAGTACGAGTATAGTTACTGAGATAACCGATTATCAATTGGCAATGAAAACAATACATCAAAGGTCACTACTGCCCTTGTCAAACCAACCTGGTAGATCTGCTCTGGATCCAGATCGTTTAGGCGAAAAGAATTAAGCATAGGAGACACCAACTCGGGCTGATAGTATCGCCATGGTTCTTGACTCTCAATGACAGGATATTCCATTGGCTCACTCGTCCAATTGGTTTTCAATGAACTCACTTCTCCAGAAAGGGGTATAGATGCATGCCATACTCGAAATCCGGCGATTGAAACCTTACGAATACGAATACGATAGGCACGGATGAATGCACCACCTGACTCCGGTATCTGCCAGACTACGGTATGGGCGTATGGATAAGAGCTGATTTCGTTCGATATAACCTTTTTAAAGTGATGAAAGAACGGATATACTTAGACAAGAGGTAACGAGTTAAAAGCAAATTTATTAGTAACCGTTCAGTTAGCAGGCAGCGTAGGCCAGAATAAATTGAATAACTAGAGAAGTATTCAGAAGAAGCTTCACTTCAGTGTTGGGACTAGCCATAGCTAATAAAAATAAGGAGACAATGGGGAAACTTGCTGTTTTCCAAAATAAACAAATCCACCTATTACAAGGGGGAGAGCAATAATCATGGCAAGATCTTTGAATTTTCATTATATATTCACTTGTGGGGCCACATGGGTGCTGAACTAAGGAATTGCTGACAATTAAAAGAGATGACGCTAATCTTGTGAATATAGATGACTTAAGGAAATTCTATTAGCAACGGAAAGGTTTCTGATTGACGTTATTGATTATAATGGCATAACAAATTTTCATTCTACGACACTATGAGATAGGGAGGAGGTCTGTTGTACCCTTACAGTTACTTCTGCCCTTTGAAACATTGATACCCTTGGTAATATGGCGTAGTGGTGTCATGTCAAAAATGAACGTTGCATCACCTGGGTTTGAGCTCCATTTGAGATGCTGATTGGATTAAGACGAAGTCGAAATTGCAGTCCATCTTAAATGGGAAAAGCTCTTGGAAAGGAATACTATGAGAAATACATTCTCACTATGTTGCCTATTCATATCCTTGTGGGAAAATTCATTATTAGTCCTTCATCAGCTAAAGTGAACATAGCTCCTACTTAAGGAAGCGGAACAGGCTATTTTTCGTACATAAGCGAGGTTTCGAGACTACCAGTAAATCAGTTATATGAGATGTATTCACCCTATTTAGTTTAAGGTGATGAAGGACTGGTAGTAGAATTTTCTTACAATGATATGAGAAGAGCTGACGTTTACATTGATTTTTACATAATCTTGCTTTCCAAGAAGTTGTTCTTATCCACACAGAAGTGGAATGTACTTTCGACCTCGCATAGGTTTTATCAACACCCCCAGCGACAGTCGAACCGTGACAGTTCAGACTGTGAGTTTAACACGTTAACCACTCGGTCACATTGCCACGATGCCCTTGAAACACAGGGCAGATGTTAATTTTAAGGAAGGCCGGGCCTTTTCCCATATAACATTCTTTGGAGGAATTGTCGATGAAGCAAACGTATTTTTGCTATACTAATCGAGTACATTACTTATTATCGTATATATGCAAAGTTTCGAGAATAACAATTAATCACCTTAAACGAAATAGGGTGTATACATCTCTTATCACGTAACAGATTCCCTTTTCCAGAAACTTGAAAAACTTTATAAAAAATAAAACAATATATATATGAATAGAAACTAGGTTTCGATGAGTATCTTGAGATAATATTATGAGGGGGACTTTCAATTCGCATGAAAGTGAATGAAGAAGAGATTCGTTGGTCGATCTCACCAGATGAGGATGGATGAATCTCGTTGTACTACAGCCGTTTGGCTTTTATATGATATTCATTTTGACGCAGTTCACAAGACTTCCTCCCTCGTTTCGGGTGAAAACTTGCTGAGCTTTCGTCCATCATATGACGGACATCAACAGAGTTGGGTTTCATTCTTGTAAAAGTATAACGTTAACACTAGGCTAAGAACATTATCCGGCTCTATCTTACTTCTTATATAGACTCAATTGAGCCAAATGAAAATTAAAAACCTAGATAGATCGATATAGAGTGGTTTGGTCAATTTTCCTTCATTCTGTTCCTGTTATTTTTGCTCGATTGTATGAGTATATGTATTTGTGCGTGTTAGCGTTTATATGCAATACGGTTTCTAAGTCAGAGTTGTCAAAGTTTTAATCTCAGGTTTTGATCATCAAGTCGTAATGACCCAAGAAAAAGCCTTGACTGAGACTGCATAGGTCCGTAAACAAGTATGGTTAAGATGATGAGATATAAGCTTGTAAACATTAAAATCAAGTTATGAAACAATTTGTTCTAACCTTTCACTCTAGGGTCATTAACGTTTAACCTACAAGGAAAGGTAAGACTGTGGTTGCGTAATCTGACATATCTTGTTTGGTTGATGAGCTAACTCTAACATTTTGGACGAATGTGAGCTAAATTAAAACCATCACTGAGCAGATAAATTGAGTAGCCTTTTTTTGACTGCGGTTCAACACCCTCTCTCTCTCTCTTTCAATCTATCAATTAAGCATTAGTAGTTTCTACTTAACTTTCTACCACCGTCACTCACATTCAACGTATTTCCTAAGCTATTAATTTCAATAGCTTCTCTTATTTTTCTTATAACCACAGACGTAGCATAATCAGCAAACCTACTAGTTTTGAGGGTGTTGAACCGCCGTCAAAAAAGGGCGACTCAATTTATCTGCTCAGTGATGGTTC